CAATTCTATCATTAATATTAGTTAGAATCTTAATGTCTTTAACATTTCTTTTCAATTGAATATCATACTTCCTTGGGAACACTTATAAACTTTCCATAATTAATTCTTTATTCCCCATATTTCTCTTCACTTATATTTTTATAAATCATTAATAATAATTAAAATGTTCCCATCCTTTCCTAATTTCATTCTCTCATTCACTTTATTTCATTTATTTATTAACAAACATTCCACTGCATTACAATAAGTATTTTATCCATCATTTTAATCATACATTGTTTCATATTTTCTAAAATTATTTCTATTTCTAATATAACAATACTACCTTATGTACCTTTGCAGAATCCTTTTTTCAATTAAATTTTCACCCATTATCTCTAATTATCTCTAAATAGGCTTATACGTTCAATCCTTAGACATTTTCCCTGTTTCTCTATATCTTGTTTCTTTTAAAACTTCTTTTCCTTTCCTTCTTCCTTCTCTTCTTCTCCCTCCCCCTTTTGTCCCCTTGTCTCTCTACTTCTAATTCTCTCTTCTGTAATCCTCTCTTCTGTTACTTCCTAATATTGTAATTATTTTTCAAACTATTCTTTTTGGGGGTTGTTTTTTCAAATCTTAAACTTTTCACTTTCTTTCCCCCCTTTCCTTTTTTTCCCCAAATAAAATTACTTGATCATTAAAGATGGCTTCTTCTTTGTCCCGATCTTCTTGTTCTACAAGTGTTTCTTGTTGTTTCTCATAGTTCCAGATCTCCATTTTTTAATAATTGAAAACGAAGCCGAAAAAACCTCTTCCTTCTTATGCATCTTCTTTCTGTTTTTTTTAAATTCCATTTTCAGTTCTTCTAAAAGTGATGCCATTTTAAACACTTTTAAACAACCACCCAATTGATTTTAGTCATTTAAATCCAATAGCTAAAAATTCAAAAATCACCAAGTAATCCAAATAATCCAGAGCTGTTTCTTCTTGCTTCTTTTTTCCATTTTCTCTTCCTGCGGTTCTATTATTTTGTTACAAAGTTTCAGTTAAAATGTATCTTTTAGGAATCTTGTTAAGGTTTCACTATAAGTTCCTTTTAGTTCGAGGCAGTCTCCTTCATTTTTCCAGATCCCGCCCTTTTATTCTTTCCTTTTCTCTCCTTTCCTGCTTTTAAAGGTTTTTGAGTATCCAAAAGTCTTTATTATCCCTTTGACATTTTATTTTCAATTTCTTACTTAAATTTCTTAGCTGTCAGTATAAGGAAGGGAAGAAAAAAAAAGCCAAATCCTTTCGCTTCCCTCTCTCCTTCACTACTTCAAAGTTTTCTTTGGGAACAATGTTATTTTTTATGGTTCAAATTCCAAGGTATCTTACGTTGTTACTTTTTCAATTTAACCCAGTCAATCAAAATTTTCTCTTTTTATCTTCCTCCTGCACATTCTTTTCCAGTCAAGTTCTTCTTTGAGGTGGCCATTTCTGACCACTGCTGCAACTGCCTTCGGGAAAGGGAGTAATGGCCAGCTGAGGAGGAGAGATGTGGCTCTCCTCAATCCTGCTGGCAGTCTCCCCCCTCTTTACCACCTCTACAGGATGGCTTAGCCCCAAATCCAACTGGCTCAGGTGCTCTGGTGGCGAGCATGGATCAAAACTGTGCATGATCGCAGATTTCAGTACGTCGCCGAAGAAGCTCAAACTGGAAGTCCCTCGTTTGATTTTCTTGATGATCCATTGGCTTATTTTCTTAGTTGTCCATGGTATTCTCATAATTCTTTAGCACCAAAGATCAAGTCCAGGTTCTTTACAACATGAATATCTTACAATGTAAGAACCTAGAGATCCCCACTCCATCCCAGAAGCAGCAACTACCCAATCATACAAATCATTTGATTAGCTACATATCAACCTGGGATCCCCAGGCCTGCTGGCAGAACCACAACTTCAGAATCTTTTGGGAAAGTATCAAGGTGGTCACCAATCTTATCTCTGAAGGAATGATATTTCAAAAAGAAGGAAGCCACCACAAAGAAGACTCTTTTCTTGGTCCACAACATACCTTGCTTCTCCACTATTTTTAATACATTTTTATTATTTTTAATTGTTACAAACAACTCATTGGATGGTCTCAGAGTGTTTTACATTTTAAAAACAAATATGACAATAATTTTACATTAATATTGTTGACTTTCTTATATAATTTTGTATTAATATGTTTTATCAATCTTAATTTTAATTCTTCAATATTCCCATATAGTATTTTGTGTCAATCTACATTCTTAACATTCCTTCTTTTATGATAAATTCTGTATTACTCGTCATATCTGCAATATTTAACAATTTGTATAATTCACAGTCATTCATTAGTCCATGTTTAATTTATATTTTCAATTATTTATTCCCTTATAATTCTTAATTTTCCCACCATTGCACTTTAATCAAAATCCCTTCCCAGACCTATTTATACTAAAGCAAACCATATTCAAACATTTAACCTATTGTTCAATTCTAGTAACGCTATAATTACTTTTATCTATTACTATATCTCATTGTCTTATTTTTTCTATTCTATTGGGTTCCACATGTCATTTCTTTTACTACTTTACAATATTATTTTTTACATTTATTACAGTTGACAATTATATATCTTTGATAATAATCTTATTTTCAAGCATTAATTTCATGTTTATTACAATTTACCAAATTAGTTTTCATGTTTATTACAGTTCAGAGTTGTATATATTTAATGACAGTTCTCTTGTAAAATATTAATTTCATATTTAACAATTAACTATTCCATCTTAAATAATACATCTGTTCATGTGGAACCTTTATCCTTTCTATGTCAGCCATCATCTCTTGCCCTCAGTAAAGCCTTAATTAATCGCTTCCTAGTTTGTCTCCATTTTCTTTCATTCTTTGATCTTTCCTCTTACTCATTTCTTCTTTCTCTATTATATTCCATTGTTTCTCTTTCCAGTTATTTAATTTTATCCCTGCCCTCTCAAAATATTTTCTCTAAAATTCCATTTCCTGTTGTCTTTTCTTTAACATATCCTCCCCTTGGTTTATCTCATCTATCATTATTATATTAATTTTTTTCTTTTTTTTTCTTTTTATTTGTTGCTTCATCAGTTCCCTTTCTCTGATTGTGCTTCTGGTTAACGCTTCCTCTTCCAGAATTTCTCCTTTTCCATCTGCTGCTTGTATTGGTTGTGCTGTCTCTGCTGATTGTGTCTCCACTTCCAGCTTTTCTATTTTATTCAAAATATCCTCAAATCCTCTGTTCACAATATCCTTCATAGCCTGTAATTCCAACGCCAATTCTCTACATATCCCACTCATCTTTATTCTTGTTTATTCTTTATCTTATGTCCAATTATCCAATTGTCCAACTATAATCCAAACCTCTGCTATAAGTCAGTGTCCAGGAATCATTGTCCCAAAGTTAACCAATCTACTTCTTTACATAATCCAAGGGTAATGTCTTTATAAATTTCTCCACCAAAAATTTGGGACTTGCTTCTCCACTCTGATGGGCTAGATAAATGTATCTGGGGAAAGGCAGTATTTCAAATAACTTGGCCCCAAGCCATGCAGGGCTTTAATGGTAATAACCGGCACCTTGAGAGACTTGTCAGAAGTAGTAAAGGGTGTCTTGCTTGAGCAGGGGGTTGGACTAGATGATCTACAAGGTCCCTTCCAACTCTATTGTTCTGTAAAATGAATTGCAACTAGAAGGAAATCAATAGCCAATGCAGCTTTTGCAAAGGAGGTGACACATATATGTAAATCTTGACTCAGACGGAATTATGTGGGATGCTGCATTTTGAACCAACTGAAGCTTCTGGATATTCTCCAAGGATAGCCCCACATACAGCACATTATAGTAATCCAAACAGGAGGTAACTATGGCACAAGTGACTATGAATAGGACCTCCTAGTTCAAGAGAGGGTGCAATTGGTGCACCAGATGAAATGTGCAAAGTTCTCCCCCACCCCATAGCCTTGAGCAGGAGCTGTGAGTCTAGAACAGGGGTGTCAAACTCACGACACATCATCATGTGACGTATCACAACTTTTTCCCCCTTCACTAAACTGGGCATGGCCAGCACTAGATGCATCTGGCCTGTGGGCCATGAGATTGACAACTCTGGTCTAGAAGAATCCACAAATGATATACCAATTCTGCCTGGGGGATGCCAGAATCAAAGATGAGTCAAAGCCAGTTCCTCCCCATCCACAGCCTCACAGCCTCCATGCATTCAGCCTGCACTATCATAGTATCACTTGTCTGGCTAGGGGTGGAAGATATATAATTAAGTGTGGTTAACATGCCAGACTCCATGCCAACAAGTGATCCTCCCCAGTAGTTTCAGGTAAACATTGAAATGGAAAGGTGAAAGACTTAAGTTCTGAGGCATTGCTGGATTCTAGGATTTGAACTATCCTCTCCTATTAACATGGACTGAATCTGTTTGCAAACAAAGAAGGAGAATCAACACAACACAGTGTTTCCCATTCCCAAAACTCAGAAGCTAGTTCTGAAGGATACCATAATTGAGAATATCAAAAGCTGCTTAGAAGGTCAGGAGAGACAGAATGGTTGCACCCAACTCCATCTTGTACCCTCCAAAGACAAGTGTGACCAATGTCATTTCAATGCTATGCCCTGGCCTAAATTCAGACTGAAAAGGTTCCAGATAATCCACTTCATCCTTTTGCAGCTGTGTGCCAACCACCTTCCCTACCACCTTCCCATATCGATCCAAGTTGTAACCAAATTTAAGTTGCCTTAGCTTTTGAGTTAAAACAAGAATATCCAGGGGTTGAACTAGAAACGGCTCTCCCTCATATAAAATTTCTGGAGTCCATCTCATAACTCTACCTTGAGATAGAATGGGTTACAATTGGTTTGTTTTGAGAGTAATTTGGTCTTTTGTTAAAAATGATAGTTAGCCCCTTTTCCAAGGAATCTAAGTTCTTTTTTTGCTTAATTTCCCCTTCGTTTCAGACAGGAGGCCAGGATGGAAGCTGAGAATGTCACCTCTGTTAAGGAGTTCACCTTACTGGGACTGGCCAGCCAAAGAAAAATCCAGCTTTTCCTTTTTGGGGTCATTCTTCTTGTCTACTTGCTTACTGTTTTGGGGAATCTCCTGATCATCATCCTAGTGCAGATTGACGTTCAACTCCACATCCCCATGTACTATTTTCTCTCACATTTTGCAGGGATAGAAATATGTTATGTTACCAGCACCATGCCTCTCATGTTAACCCATCTCTTGACTGGAAATGGAGTCATTTCTTTTGCACTCTGCACCATTCAGATGTATGTCGCATTGACCATGGGGAGCATGGAGTCCTTTCTCTTGAGTGTCATGGCTTATGACCGCTACCTGGCCATCTGCTGTCCTCTAATTTATGCTACTGCCATGAGCACGCAAAAACAGTTGCAGTTTGCTTTAGCCTGCTGGGTTATTGCTCCTGTGCTCTCTGCCATCTGTGTTATCTGTTTTGTTTGCCAAACTTATTGTGGTCCTAACTGGATCAACCACTTCATATGTGAGTTGCCAGTTGTGCTGAAACTTGCATGTAGTGATACACGAATAAGCAAGCTTGTGATTTTAGCTATAGGAGCATTAGGCATTCTGGTTCCTCTATTGGTTATTCTGACCACCTATGGGTGTATAATTTATTCTGTCTCACATATGAAGTCAAATGTTGGACTGCACAAAGCTTTCTCTACCTGCACATCCCATTTGATTGTGGTCATTTTTTTTTATGGAACGATTATCTGTATGTATATGATTCCAAAGTCAGCTTCATCTCCTGATCATGATAAGCAAATTGCAGTCTTCTATGTTGTGGTCACCCCTCTGCTCAACCCCATCATTTATACCTTGAGAAATAAGAGCATACATAGAGCAGCATCCAAAATGTTGTGAAGAGTGGCTTTACACCCACACACCTAAAATAGGGTTTCTACCATGCTTTATTACTCAATAGCTTAATACCCTAACTAATGGTATCACTGCTTTTGAATTGTGGTGTTGGAGAAGACACATTTTTGTTTGTTTGTGGTAAGTGTATTTTAACTATGGACTATCTATATGCAACAGAAACATATTTTAATTATAAGATTTTATCAGTTTCCAATAGCATTCCAGATGTCTTCATATGCTACAGAAGCAATAAACTAAACTAAACTTTAAAATGAAAACACTATTTTGAAATGGAATTTGAAAAATAATGGTCCACATTTCTGATTGTTGATAGCTGAAATTATAAACACTCAAGAATTTTGTAATATTGAAACTTTTAAAATCAAACTTGAGGGTTGAAAGGATGGGATAGCTCTTCACATTACTATCCCCAAAAGCTTAGTTTAATCCAGGGCAGTGGTGATATTCTACTGGTTCAGCCTGGTTCTGGTATACCAGTAGCACTGAAGATCAGTGAAGATTGAACTGGTTCTCTCTGAAGAGCTGATGTTGGGCCCACCTGCCCACCTGGGTTCCCACACTGATCATTATTCCCTGCTTTTGAAGCACAGCTGCTTTGCATGGCATAGCAGATTGCTGTACACCTGCTCCTGCAGTTACAGGGAGAGTGCAGGATTGCAGTAGGGGATTAGGAAAGCCTCTGTGCCTGTGCAAAGTGCACGTTTGGCATGTGTGCACAAAGTGTGTGCACAAACATGCAAAGTGCGCCCACCAAGCCATGCCCACTGAACTGGTGGTAACCGACTTTGAAACCCACCACTGATCCAGGTGTGTCAATCTCGTGGCCCATGGGCTGGATGCATCACACACATACTCACCCCGTTTAGCAAAGGGGTAAAAGGTCATGGTACATCACATGATGATGTGATGACACGAGTTTGCCACCCCTGGTTTAATCCAATGTTTCCCATCCTTATCAACTCTTAAGATGAACGGACTTCAACTCCCAGAATTCTTCCTGCAGAAAACCTTGTTTGGCTGAACCTCACTGTTTCCAATCCATTCCAGTTTAGTATCAGTCACATTTTATATACATTTAGATCATGGTTAATAATAAAAAATGTTCAACATTAAAAAGCTACATGGATACCCAGTCTTTTGCTCAGTGGTGGTTCATCCTATAAGAAAAAAAAGAACATGATGATACCTTAAAAAAAAAAAAAATTCTATGGAGAATTGGTATGAAAGGCAACTTCTGTTTCTAGTGGAAATTCCATTCTATTACAAATTGTTTACAAAAGCTTCAAGAACTCTCCTTCCCTCCCCCTCTTTCCTTCTCTTCCACAATCTTACTAACCTAATAACCTAATCTTACATAGCTTTTTCTCTGGTAATATTACACTAATAACTAGAGCATACAAAACATTTGCTAGACCAATACTCGAATACAGCTCATCAGTCACATTACATATTTGATATTAACACAGATGAGAAAGTCCAGAAATATTTCACAAGAAGAGTTCTCCACTCCTCTACTCATTGCAGAATACCTTATGCCACCAGACTTGAAATTCTAGATTTAGAAAACCCTGAATTATACCGTCTTCGGTCTGATCTGAGTATAGTATATAAAATCATACATTGCAATGTCCTACCTGTCAATGAATACTTCAGCTTCAACCATAATAATACAAGAGCAAACAATAGATACAAACTCAAGGTTAATCGCACTAAACTTGATTGCAGGAAATATGACTTCAGCAACAGAGTGGTCAATGTCTGGAATACTCTACCTGACTCTGTGGTTTCTTCCCCAAACCCCAAAACTTTAACCTTAGACTGTCTACTGTTATGACTCCCCTTCAAAATTCAAGCAGCCATTTCACAATTAAATCAAACGGAAAGAAGTCTTACAAGATAACGGCTGGCAGAAACCTCAATCCACAGCATATATCTGTCCGGCAAACCAGTCCTGGCAATAAATCTCCAGTCTCAGAGCTTCTTGCTGTAACGTCCTCACTCAAATAGTCACTTTGTTCCTGGCAAAATGTACCAGCCCAGCTGTGTCCTTTTATACTCATTGAGGCAACGTGCTAATTTACTGACTCGCTCTCCTCATTCGCTCCAGCTGATTTTGCCTTCTCAACCGTCTTCTGTTTTTTACATTTAACCACAAATTTTCCAAGTTCTCATCTCCACTAGAAGACTCTCTCAAAACTTCCCTGTCAGCCATTCCCAGCTGTTGATCAGATAAGGAACCAGAGGAGGTCAAAGGTCCTGACAATTCTAATTCATCAGGTCTGTCGTCCTTTGTCACCTCCATCTCCTCATCCTGGTTACCAGTCCAATCACTGAGCCATGCCGGCTCATATTTTTCTGCCATGACCTCCTCACTTGAACTCATATCAGTCACAGGAGCTGAATCCAAGCCCGGAGCCACAACAGTCTACTATAGACCCTACCCCTTTCCTAAGAGATCTGTAGGGGGCGTGCATAAGTGCACCAACATGCCTACCATCCCTGTCCTATTGTTTCTTTTATTTTTCTTGTATGTATCCATTCTACTCATAACTATGTTTTTACTTATACCTATTGTAAGCAATTGACAAACCAAATAAAATAAAAATAAACATTCATATGTTGAATTGAATTCATTTCTTGGGGACCCTTCATTCATTTCATTTTTGGCTTCAGTTTAGATTGACAGTGTTTTCTTCTTGGATTTTCTTTGACTAATGTCATTTTCTCATTCAATGTTCAAATTTTTGTGTGCCTTTCAATTAATTTTCCATATATATATTTGAAAAAACTAATAATAATAAACACAAAAGATTGCTTCTTCTTTCATTTAATCTTTGTGAATACATTGACATAAAGTTATTTTCTTTTAGAGAATATTTAAAAGTGCCCACGAAATAAAAACAGAGAGCTAGACATCTTTGTCAATTTATTAGAAATAACCACGAGAGACTGGAGTAATCTCATTGGAAATAATATCATGAAATATTGACCTCTGCCATAGACAGTGAGAGAAGAGGCTAGAATGATATCTTAAGTCCTGGAACACTTTCAAAGATGAACTAACTTTAGGAAGCTGAAAAACATGGTTGGTTGAGCAGGAGTGAGGGTGATGGAAAAGATGAAGCTTAGTACTGGTAGAAAAAGGTTTTAAAGAATCATTTAAAAGATCTCAAAGAAGAACCGTCACATCCAGTGGAATCAACACCAAGAAGAATTTAATCTGAAATCTCTTTGAATTTCATCATATCCATCAATCCAAAAAGCTTCAGTCACAAACATCTTCCTGAAAATTATTACAAGGACATGGCATGGTAGGGTTCCTGGTCTTTTTATCTAGATTCTTCAAGTATATTTCACTATAATAGTTCTTTCATAAGTTCGACTAATGTTTCAAATTATTTCTCAACATTATGTACTAAGTTGTTGGTTGTTATAATTGAAATCATGATGGGATCCTTGTTAAGTGAGAAAGATCTTGGCAATTCTTAAATCCAAGATTCCAATGACCTACTTGGAGGTTTTAAAGGATGAAATATTTTGACTTGAGAGAGTTGTCTTAGAATAGAACTTTAATACTGACATACTCTTATCTTAAATATTTCTTGGTGGAAATAAATACAGAGACATTTGCTAAGGCAAACTATTGATTTTTCCTTTTTTATCTCTACATATGTCTAGAATGATTGTTACTTTCTTAGCTTTTCTTGGCATTGATAATTTGTCTGGGATTCACATTCAGGCAATATTTAGGTTATATTTTGAATATAATTGGGTACTTTTACCTTCTAGTTTCTTTCATTTTGGGGTCCAACTTAAGCTCTCTATGGAATTATTCTAAGGTTATTTTTAAAGTTGTTATAAATCGTGAAATACTGAATCAGTGCTAATTTTTCTCCAGTCAATAGCCATTTAGTTCTTCTGAAATTGCAAAAATTTAGTTAAAAGCAGATAAGAACTAAGGTGAAATGTTATTATAATTCATTCAAAAATTATTTCATTTATCTGTCTGTCTTTCTTGCCTGTAATAATTTGAAAGAATTTTGTGAATATTTTATCATTTGGATAGAACTTTAGGCGTTCCTTTTGGTTAAAATTAACCAAAAATATGTATGTGACACCTTCAGCTCCTGTACAAAAATGGTTGGATAGGTAATTAAAAATATCAAGAGTTTTGGATTTTTCAGGCACTGAGTTCATACAATCCTGGAAATAAAATCTAAACTCAATTTGCAGCTATGGGTTGTTAACAAGCATTACTTCTCAGAGTTCAAATTTATTGTTTCTGTTTGCTTGTCTTTTTACAGAGGATCAGGGATGATATCAAGCATTCTGGTCAATATGTTTTGGAGTTCTGTTTTCAGAATAATTTTCCAGGCTCCCCTTTCCCCCTGCCTTTTCTTTTTTTAAAAATTGATTTATTGTGCTGATTAATTTTTAAGTTCCATTATGTCACAAAAATGGTTGTACTGTGGATATTTATAACTTCATGTCATTAGTTAAGGAGAATAAAGATAAACAAATAAATAAAATCTCCCAATGAGACCATGCCAATCATCTAATGATTCCTTGAAGAAGATTGGATTGAAGCAACTTCCAGAAGCTAATCTACAAAAAAGTATGGCACTTTGGAGAGTGAGGAGAAGCAATCATTTTTTTTTGCCTCTGCTTTACTGTTCTGAGTGCAGCACTGATTCGGAACATCATCTGTCTTGATGAGTGCCATGGAGAAGGTTGAGAAGAGTTGCAAATTAATGCTCACCTTTTTATCCTCTTCAATAACATTTGTGAAGGTTACTCAACCTTCTCCTATGTATCCTTTGCAAAACCCAGAAGAGACCCACTTAGTTGCTTGCTTGCCCACTTGCTTGTCTGTTCATTTGTTTGTTTATTCAAATACATAACTCTGGGGTGTTTACAGCAATGTAAACTAATACAAGAACATCATACAAATAAAAACATATAAAATATAACATGATCCACAA